CTTATGTAAAAAGGAACATGAATATTGTCAAAGTGCGGACAAAAATAGGGATGCTAGCATGTGATTATGAGTACATTAGTAAGCGTTCGAAAAAATTTAACATGAATTTATGTAGTGACTGTCCGAATGATAAAATAACATGTTCGTATGACCGATTTGAAATATCGTAAAAATAGAGTAATAAATCGTTAATAGGTATGACAGCGGAATAAATCGTGGAAATAAGTAATGTAGAATATAATAGAAATTGGTCTATGGTGCCGACTGAATATGACGATAAAGAACAGTGAAATATGTTCTGATAAGCCGCAGTAGAGTAAATAGCGTCGATCAGCGATTAGTAGATTCGAATTCGCATACATGGAGTTTGTGTGTGGTAAAAATAATCGAGTCGTAGGATGATGACTGCATCAACGGTTGATATTCATTGCTGTACTGATAATGATAATGATAATAAAATGCGAAGTCAGTGTGCGTTGTCACTTGCGTTGAGTTATCGTTAAATATGTATTAGTAGAATGACCAGAGGAACAGGATAGTGACTGCTGAAACGAGATATGCGGAGTCGTATTCCTTTATGGTCATGCAGCCTATCGTGGTTTGTGTAGTTAGAGGGATATGCGCTCAACCTCGTTTGTTACGAAACCGTATTAAGGCATAACAAAAATACCAATACATATGATTATCGATGACGGCAAGTGAGACTGACTTGGATGTGACGAACAAGAGTGTATCTTTGAGAGACCAGTTCTAAACTCTATGTTCTTGTATACCATGCAATGGAAATGGAATACTAATCGCAGTAATCGAATAGTGTTTATGGGTAACGGATGATGCAGCATTCAGATTTGCATGTCGATGAATAGATAATATGAACATAAACATTACTAATCGGCTGGTAATGCGGCGTCGAATACTTGATTTGTGTATAGACATTAAAGTAGGGATCATCGTAAAACAGAAATTGCGAAAGTTCGGTTTAGGTTGTGGCTGAAAGTGTAGGAGACGACGATTGCTGCGTACCAATGAGATGAATGAACATTAGTTGCGTCGAGAACATAAGTTCCTACTATCGGAAGTATGACTCCAAACTTATGTCTATGATAGAGTGTAATATTAGACCGAAAATGACATGAGAAAGAAAAAATTGGAACGAACTCACTTGAATCAGGAAAATTGTACGTCATTGGATAATAAAAATAATCCAGTGAGTTTCGAATATCATAACGTGTAATGTCCATATCATTATAATTTGTTCGATTAGTGATATGACTGCGTATGTCATAGTTTAATGTTAATACTAACAAAAATAATAATTCCACATTAGATGATGATATGACATTATTGTAATAATGAGCATATGATGATTATTAGAATCAACGAAATATGTCGTCGGCGGTTTCATTTTTGATTTGTGTTCACTCGTTGCGGTTGCCGATTCTGTCGCGTGTTCCAAATACGGCGTGCCAATTATGTTGTGAGTTCGTACGTCTAGGTTGTCGATTCTGGTCGATGTTCGTTCGGCGAGACATCCAATTATGTTTTCGCGTTCGTAAGTCGGGATCGCTAATTGTGTTGCGTGTTCGTACGTCGGGATTACCAGTTTTGTAGTGCCGTGCTTCGATCATAGTTCGCTTCGATAACCGTTATTAATACCAATCTTAACGGTGTATAATATCAGAAGGCAAAGGGAAGCGGCAACTACATTTTTATTGATAATCGATGCAGACCAGAAAGTTGTAAGCACATGAGCAACTGTAAGCAAGCGAAGCAAAGATGATGCGTATTGGAGATGGCTGGGAAGCCAACTCATTTTAAGCAAGCGTTAACTAACATTTATAGGCAGGCAAAAATGAGTGACAGACATATGATGAATAAGATACGAAGTGTACACATATGCGCTCATATAAAAAGTACTCAAGGTTAATAAGCAAATGATTAACAAGATCAAAAGATGACTCAATGTACAGGTGAATTGGCTTGGCCAGTAACTAGAGTAAAGTATATGGGCCTAACATATGAACTGGTACTACATAGCCCCCTTGTAGAAAATAGCACATTTATAAAAAAATGTCTGTTTTCGAAAAATAACACTGAAGCGGTATGTGGATAACGTCAAAATGTGGGAAAAAATGGTACAATACCTGATGAATTACAGTGTCGTGTGAGGGGTGAGCGTATTAAGCGTAAGTGTCATACTTATGTAAAAAGGAACATGAATATTGTCAAAGTGCGGACAAAAATAGGGATGCTAGCATGTGATTATGAGTACATTAGTAAGCGTTCGAAAAAATTTAACATGAATTTATGTAGTGACTGTCCGAATGATAAAATAACATGTTCGTATGACCGATTTGAAATATCGTAAAAATAGAGTAATAAATCGTTAATAGGTATGACAGCGGAATAAATCGTGGAAATAAGTAATGTAGAATATAATAGAAATTGGTCTATGGTGCCGACTGAATATGACGATAAAGAACAGTGAAATATGTTCTGATAAGCCGCAGTAGAGTAAATAGCGTCGATCAGCGATTAGTAGATTCGAATTCGCATACATGGAGTTTGTGTGTGGTAAAAATAATCGAGTCGTAGGATGATGACTGCATCAACGGTTGATATTCATTGCTGTACTGATAATGATAATGATAATAAAATGCGAAGTCAGTGTGCGTTGTCACTTGCGTTGAGTTATCGTTAAATATGTATTAGTAGAATGACCAGAGGAACAGGATAGTGACTGCTGAAACGAGATATGCGGAGTCGTATTCCTTTATGGTCATGCAGCCTATCGTGGTTTGTGTAGTTAGAGGGATATGCGCTCAACCTCGTTTGTTACGAAACCGTATTAAGGCATAACAAAAATACCAATACATATGATTATCGATGACGGCAAGTGAGACTGACTTGGATGTGACGAACAAGAGTGTATCTTTGAGAGACCAGTTCTAAACTCTATGTTCTTGTATACCATGCAATGGAAATGGAATACTAATCGCAGTAATCGAATAGTGTTTATGGGTAACGGATGATGCAGCATTCAGATTTGCATGTCGATGAATAGATAATATGAACATAAACATTACTAATCGGCTGGTAATGCGGCGTCGAATACTTGATTTGTGTATAGACATTAAAGTAGGGATCATCGTAAAACAGAAATTGCGAAAGTTCGGTTTAGGTTGTGGCTGAAAGTGTAGGAGACGACGATTGCTGCGTACCAATGAGATGAATGAACATTAGTTGCGTCGAGAACATAAGTTCCTACTATCGGAAGTATGACTCCAAACTTATGTCTATGATAGAGTGTAATATTAGACCGAAAATGACATGAAAAAAAAATTGGAACGAACTCACTTGAATCAGGAAAATTGTACGTCATTGGATAATAAAAATAATCCAGTGAGTTTCGAATATCATAACGTGTAATGTCCATATCATTATAATTTGTTCGATTAGTGATATGACTGCGTATGTCATAGTTTAATGTTAATACGAACAAAAATAATAATTCCACATTAGATGATGATATGACATTATTGTAATAATGAGCATATGATGATTATTAGAATCAACGAAATATGTCGTCCGCGGTTTCATTTTTGATTTGTGTTCACTCGTTGCGGTTGCCGATTCTGTCGCGTGTTCCAAATACGGCGTGCCAATTATGTTGTGAGTTCGTACGTCGAGGTTGTCGATTCTGGTCGATGTTCGTTCGGCGAGACATCCAATTATGTTTTCGCGTTCGTAAGTCGGGATCGCTAATTGTGTTGCGTGTTCGTACGTCGGGATTACCAGTTTTGTAGTGCCGTGCTTCGATCATAGTTCGCTTCGATAACCGTTATTAATACCAATCTTAACGGTGTATAATATCAGAAGGCAAAGGGAAGCGGCAACTACAAGGTATTCATCTTGGTCGTTATCTTACTGCCATTGAGGAATTAGTCGAAGAAAGATCATTGTGTCAATGACTAACAAGTAATTAGTCCTATGAAGGCAACCTAGGTCAATAAACCAATAATCGGACTAGAGAATACAACTGCTTTCACAATAGATGGCCCGAATGCACGAGCCCCAATACAACACAAGAAACTGTCTTTTGCCTTCATATTAGTTTCGATAGTCAAGCACTTAGTTTTTCCTAAAAAAACATTAGCGGAGACTTCGCAACGGCTAAATAACCTGGTGTTCAGAAAAAAACAGTGGCATCTAGATATTGTAGGAATTTAACGCATTTCTTATCCACTAGCGGAAAGAAGACTCATATAAGTGAAACATACGAAATTAATGACACTCTAACAACCATTGTTTGAAAATCTAAAGAGCAAAGTGGAATACTTCGAAAGACATCTTAACTGTTTTGTGTTATGACCAACTTTAATCAAAATATCCATAAGCTCACTGTGCAGTGAGTATTGTTATCTATAATGAACTGAAAGTTTGAAAGGAACATCAACTACTAAAGTCCTAAAAAACATGATTTAAATGACATCCACATAATTGAGAAGGCATGGTGAACTGTATTACGTTATTCTGAAGTGAAACGACTATCATGTACGTTCCCAAAAAACAGCTTACAAAATAAAGTTGACAGACACCAAAGTGAGATTTTCTTAATAGATGAGTCCTAAATTGTGTATTTTATTATACTTCCTAGTGTGCTGGAAGAAACGAAGACCCATACACAAGAGACGGACTGGCTTTTGTTTAGGCCGTGGGTGTATTTGACACTTTGAACCCTCCATCAAACCCTTGATCACTTTGGATATTTCAGGCTGACAGTCACTATGTTTCCAGACGACATGACTGGTCTTGAACAGTTAGACACGGCTGCGACTGGGAACTACCTTAGAAAGGGATGTTTGAAACTCTCATTAATACTTCGAAACTCACTTACAAAATTGACTCAGTGTTAGTGTTAGGTAGAATTATATGAAATTAGGTATCACCAATACTAGGGTGACTTACGGTAATCATGATAAATTGAGTGATAAAGACCTTTAAAATGTATTGGAAAAATTGATTTTGAAAAGCAAGATCTCAGCCTAACAAAAGAAACAAAATAAATAACACTGACGATAAGTTAATCTTGTTTTCACATAAGTAAATAATATTCTTTTTGAAACCTTACTTTCATTTCCTCGCTTGCCAAACGGCTTGCTTCACCTAAACCGACAACTAAGGCCGTAGGAACAGTACCAGACCTTAACCCACGTTCCTGTCCACCTCCATTTTGCTGAGCTTCTAATCGAACCCTAGGTCGGCGACGTACGTACAGAGCACCAATGCCTTGAGGACCATATATCTTGTGACCACTAATGGACATGAGGTCAATCTGAAGAAAGGAATTCCACAAAAAGTATATCTTTAAGTTTATCACATCGCAACAATGTAATAGTTACGAAAAACAACAAACCACCGCACACTAATAAAGTTTCTCATATCTACCCTCACAAAATCAAGTGATTACTGAATAGTAAGGCGTACAGTGCAAGTATGATGTTTAAGTATGTCAGAAAAAAGCTTAGTTAAATTCAATGAGTTTGAACAACCCTGGAATTTAGTAGTCAACTTAATAATCCATAGTTAGAGTGAACTTCATATATTGACTGAGTGATGATATTAGTACTATGAAAAATCTAAGTAAAACGCTTAAATAATCCTTTGAACTATGGCACCAATGCTTACAAAATACGTATTATACAAAGGTTTCACCTATTTTAAGTCAGACATATCTTAATGTCGCTCGTTGGACAGTCAATTTTAAAAAATCGTATCCATTAAATACCAAACCACTTCAGTGTTTCAACACCTATAGTTTACTGTTGACCTTGTAATTGACAATTTGTATAGATAGACTAAGGTGTTGTAGGGGTCAAGTTAGTAGTAGTAACAAGGTGTTAACAATAAATAGACCGAAAGTAGTTTCACAAAAATACCTTTTAGCAAATTTTATTAAAAGGATACGAAAATGATCTGATCTTTGTAACTAGGTAGCTAAATAAGTGATCTATCAGGATGGTAAACACTTAACGCAGAGGATACAATCGGATCTCCTTAATAGTTCGTCGTATCTCACACCAAAATAATTTCAAGTTTATAAAAAACAACAGGACATCTAATTGTATAAACTAGTTGTTGAGCTTTCCAATGTGCTAACTAGTATTAAAAGTGATTGTAATCAATTATATTACATATTTAGCTAAACAAATATAAGGAGTTTGAGATAACACGCATACCGATGGAGTTTCCCTTAATCTTAAAAATTAAGTCATTATGTACAGATGACTAATCAAATGATAATGCTGAAGACGAAACAAGTAATCAACGAGAGCTAGGATAAAATATATGAGGAATATTTAGAAAACCAATCAAATATAGCTGCATCTTTTATAACAAACTAGTTCATGGTGAAATGTAACAACATTCTGTAAAGAAACATTGTCTTAACTCAGAAGACCACTGTGATTTACATGAATGACAATAAATAAATCCGTAATCGTGAAATGTAAGTCACCATGTAGTAACATAATAATGATTACCACAACTCATATCATGGTTATCAAAAGAGAAATTTGAGTGACACTGTGAAGACATTTTGTGAGTGATTACAGACATCCGCATAAATATTCCAATAGTCTACAAACTGGCTGATGAATTCTCCGCGATATCAGAATGACCATTGATGCACCAAATTACCGTGTTTCCATTTTAGTGAGTATGCTTTTCTTCTAAGAACGACAATGAATCTAACATTACACTTCATGACGGTAATTGCTTGTCAGACTAACTGAAAAACTACCAGACAACTTGAAGCACGTCTAGGGACAGTAGAGTTTATCAATCCAAACACAAACTTACTGACCACAAAAACATCCTTGAACGACCCAACATAGCTATTCGGACATTCTGATGGTACACAAAACTCACTACTTTTTAAATGACTACATTCCTCAAGAATATAGAAAATACCGTCAGGCTAGGGAGTATCAGCCAAAACTACGATTCTTCAACCCTAAGTCCAGAAATGTGGCAAATTGATTTGAAAAAGCACCACTAAGTACTTAAAGACGAAAGCAATGACTAGCAGAAACTAGTTTGCTCATGAATGCCAAACTGAACTGTCACGATTTCGAACTCCGTATAGTCAGAATCGTGAAGTAAGGAGTTAAAAAATTCGCTCGTTTGTACCTCAAAAGAAGCAGTACTTACATTCATAGCATTAACATCAATTGGCACTTTTCCAAAAGCTTGTGCAGCATCAGTATGGAAGATAACTCCTTTACTTCGACATAGTCTTCCAATTTCTTCGATTGGCTGAAGGACACCTATTTCGTTATTAACTGCTATGACAGACACCAAGACCGTTTCGGGTTTGATAGACCGTTCCAGAACCTTTAATGGATGGTAAGAAATGAATGTTGGTACCTCCAAATCCAAAATTCCATTTTTCTGAACAGGTAAATAAGTAACATCAAACCCACTGTTTTCCAAAATTCTACAGGAATCCAATACACATTTATGCTCCTAAAAAACAACTGAAATTACTCTCTAACACATTACGATCTGTGTAGTTATAATATGCTTCTTCTTTGGATAGTAAAACTTGGCAACACCTTTTACAGCTAGGTTATTACTTTCTGTCGCACCACTGGTGAAAATGATCTCTTTATGGTCAGCGCCTATCTGATTAGCTACATTCTGAAAGATTTTAAGACGACAGAAATAGAACGTACTCCTCTAGCTTTCTCAACGGCTTCTTCGCAATACCAACCATACTCATGTGTGCGTGAATGAGGGTTACCAAAATGACTAATATAAAATGGTAACATGGCATCTAATACTCGAGGATCCTTCATTTAACAGTGATTCGCAACATGAAGCTTACCATTTGTGTAGATGCTTGAAAATCAAAATATAAAGGGCGTAAAGGTTTACAACTTCTTGACTTATTCCCATCTTCTACCAAGACTAGGAAAACGATAAAAGTATGAGCACTTAGTTACGTTCTGCTTCAGCACAAAACTCTCGAAATAAATAAATAGCCCTTCGACAAGCTAACCGAGAAAACACACTCAATCTCCCGATCATCACGAGTCACTTTGAACCGGTAAGTTAACCTTCAGGATACATAGTTAGTCCATTTAAAAAGTGCAAGCAGGTCTCTATTTCCCAGAAATAAGTAGCACTATGGGACTTCTCCAGACAGCCAACAAAAAGAGAAGGATCTAACTAAATGAAATTCTGTGACGAGTAGCCAAAAAGTTTACCAGTCGACTGAGTTGAGAAAATGTTGCATAGTTTCAATGTAGATAAGTATTAGTGAGAGTAAATCAATATAATTAGAGATCGTGTAGCGTTTTCATGGACTAACGGCCATTTTGTATTTGATTTCCGTTTGGTTTCGAATTATGAATACAAGACATTCGTTTGTGTTCATCTAGTTCTATTGGGCTTAAATAACACTGTTTCGGGAATTCCCAGTTAATACAATAATTCGAATACTTCAAATTATCAGAGATAGGCATTGGCCACAGCCTAAAATGTCCAAATTATATACACAGCTGAACGTGCTATACTGAACATCCTACTCCGGAGCACCTCAGTTGGTTGTAACGTTCAGTCTTTGGTAGGTTTGTGTCTAGCCTGAAGGACTCTTTTGTCTTGGGGGAGTGTTAGTAAAAGTGACTGGAATTAACTTAGATGGAAAAGAACGATAGTGAATTGAGTCAATGACTCAGTAAACACACAGAACGCACTAGCATTTAATAAAGAAAGCACTTGACAATAATCATAAATAACACGTGCTTATGATTAAGATAATTCGATAACCGGAACAAGAAGTTGATGCTGCAAGGTTTCGAACGTGTTGATAATCCGTTTTACCCTTCGAAATAACGTGTGGGTTGGTAGCGGGTAGGTTCAAAGATACCAAAGATATTTTCTAAGTGACACCCTTATAACCGAAAAATACCAACCCGATCAAATAAGTAGTCAGAAATGAAGGGGGTCCGAAGACACATTTGGAAAGTTAACGATATGTCTGGTCGAAGCCGGGTGGTAGTTGAAAGGGATGGGAAACCTGGTGCGCTCACTCGCGATCTCGTGTGGATAAGTCACCTAGTGTCTTGAGCTAGGGCGCGTTCAGTGGAACTAGCGAAGTCAGCATCGGTGTCGAAGACCTACAGAGTTATTTGTTTTGGGTGTTTGTTTGCCACTACACACTATTAGGCGGTGAGAAAGTTTCGAGGGGATATTTTGGAGTGTAACCAACGAATTTATCGGAGTCGTGTTTTATTACTTGAAGCTTAGCTCCGTATAAACTTAAAGAAATATTTATCTTACGGATTTAGAGAGAAAATCTTTTTTCGTGTTGTAAGTAAAACTGCACGTGCAGGCATTCGCTGCAACATTTACTGGTTTACAGTATGCATCCCAAGTAGGGTTGCTTAGTAAATATAATCTATAAAAGTGAATATCAGTCCATTGGTTCAGATATACTGTGTAGTCTTCAAAATATTTTCCAAAGGAGCTACGCGTTCACGTTACATATCAGATCAAATCTCGACAAAATTGTGTTAGGATTTTGGTCGTGCTAGGTATTCATGCAATACGACTTTCTAAGTTTATAGTTGATTTGAAGTACACTTGTGGAGCTCTTGGTGTGAACTACGACGCTGGACCCATGACCTTGGTTTAGTGCGTACCTCGAGTTTGTTCCGGATGTCAGAAGTTCCGTAGCTGTGCCGTCAGAGCAAGATTGTAAAGAAAAAAGAGAAACCGAGGGGCATTAAATCATTTGAATTTAAACGATGAACAATTATTGACAGTTAGTTGTGGAACAGAGAGGGGTATGATAAATTATTAGATTAAAGTCATACTAACTCTTGTCGCCAGAGTGAAATGGGATCAGGGGGTTCCAGGTGAGAGAATGCAGTAATAAAGAACAATGTGATGTGAGATTTATCAACGTGGAGTAAGTTCAAATAAAGGAAGGGAAGTCATGGTTGGAATAAGGAAGGCTGTTTATTAGAACAGAGAGTGCATATAGAGAGTAAAGTGTTAATGAAACTAACAACCATATCCTTTAATGCCTGTCTTTTTTCTTCATCAGATGCGATGAGGGTATGGAACAAATAAACATTAAAAGGCCTATACATATGATGGAGCCTTATTTTCATATATCAGCGGACTGAATCTCAGTGCCTGTAAAAGTAGCGAATACTAGACTAGCCTTCTTATTCCTTCAATAAATACAAACAATTATCATGAGCTCTCACGCGACGTCGTTTTTTAAGTACAGGGGTCCTTATTCAGTGAAATTGGAGCTGCCGATTGTATGAATTACTGTCTGATTCCATGTTACATAGATTCTGTGATTTGTAGCTCTTAAATCTCCCCTGATATCTTTCCTAAAATATCCATTCAACACACTTCACACAGAGACGAATAAATCGGATGTGAAACACAGAGCATTGTGTAAGGTATGATATGTATCCAAAAAATAAACGTAAATGAGCCTAACATCACAAAAGGAGGGAGGGTGGAGTTACTGACCAGCAATCACTGATGGTGAGGGAGATGATTTCAATCCACCCGTGTTTGTGGGGCAGAACATTTTGTTTGTATCAGGCTCTTTATGGTTGAGAACAAGTCAATCAATCGGTGATATTGAGGTTGTTCTCCTACACTCACCATTCAGACTCATGTTTCTAATTTTTGTGCTGGATTAACTATTCTACTAAGACAACCTTTAACATGCTAACTCGAACTTTCACATGAAAACTGTATGGCAGGCATCGGATGATGAAAAAAAGAAAAAAACTGACTGTAAGGGATACGGTTGCTATTTTACTCAACACTCTACTCTCTATATGAACTCTCTGTTCTTCCTCATTCCAACCTTGACTTCCCTCCTTCATTGGAACGTACTCCACCTTGATAAATATCACAACTCATTGTTCTTTATTACTGCATTCTCTCCTCTGGAGCCCCTAATCACACTTCACTCTTGCAACATGAGCTAGTATCAATTTAATCTAATAATTTATCATACCTCCACCTATTCCACTAATAATTGTTAAGCATTGGTTATCGTTCATATCCAAATGCCTTGCTGCTCCTCGGTTTCTTTTTCTTTTTTTTCTCTTCAGAATCTTGCTTTGAGGGTGAAGCTATGTAACTTCGGACATCTGGAATAAGCTCGACGAACGCGCTTTCCCAAGATCATAGTTCGAACCGGGCGCTCCACAAGCCTACTTTATAACAACTATAAACTTAAAAAGCTGCATTACATGAATACTTAGCACGACCGAAACCCTAATACACTTTTGTCGAGATTAGATCTGGTATGTAATGTGGACGCCATGCCCCTTTGAAAACTATTCTTATGAAAACACATCATATCTGAACGAATGAACTGCTGTCAACTTTTATAGATTATAATTACTAAACAACCTTGCTTGGGATGCATACCGTGAACCAGTATATGTTGTAAATTGTAGATCATGCCCGTAAAATTGGCGTGTACCTGCTATTGCAGAAATATATTATTATTATAAATGGATAATGCAGTGCACTTTGATTATGTCCATATTTATTCGAGTATCGGCGTTTTATGTACGGTAGTTGAATAGTAGCATATTTAACTATAGTATAAATGTCTCATACAGAATGGAAAGTCTGTGTTTCTGCTAGGGAGTTTGCGGAAAGTAATTTCACACAGACATAATTCTAAACTAGCCCTCAGACTGTTGGCCACAGAATAATAGCTTATCCAAAGTCATAACAAGTAAACTGTTTGGCTCGATTAAATTTATCCGTTTTTAAAGCGTAAATTGACTCAGTACATAAGAACAGCTAAGGCAGTCTTGAACAGAGAAAAACGGAAACATGAGTAACACACCAAACAGTTACTGGTGGATAACAATATTAGTCGAAAATGTAACATCCTTTACGATAAACTTGAAAGATTATGGTTGGTGAATAAACAAGGTATAGTCTTACGAGGTTAGAGAGTTTCAATGTGTTGGTGGGCTTTCAATACTGTTATAGTTGGGTTCGTTTTCCTATCACGCCACACTAACTTGAATAACTAAAGGGAGGAACCAATACATTTGGCCGCCTCTACTCGTTAGGCTGAGTGGTTATTCACAATGAATTTATTCCGTTTGGTCCCGCTATGCTTTATCGAGCGATGCAGGTTGTTGCAAAACCAACTATACTTGTACCAGGACCTTCAAATACCTTCATAAAAGAGTTATTTTGCTTGAGATATATGGTGCACAAGAATGAAAAGTCAAAATATTACTTCACATCCCCTTAAAAAGCCTTTTGCATTCACAAGATCGACCTTTGTTCAATAAACGTACAATTTATAAACTTACTAGTCAAATGTAACACAAACTATACGAGAACAATACTACTGCGTTACAGTTTTGAGGGCACGATCACTAGCACAAAAGCCACAAATTTCAAACCACGAAATAACAACCTTAAAATAAAAGTTAAACATGGTCATGTTGGCTACCGAACGAACAAAAGCCTTTGCAACTTACACTATATTTACATGATAATGTGCTCCATATGTTTGATATATATCAGCCTTTTTTATTTCCTCTCTCTAAACAGAAATCGAAAATCGACTACTGACATCAGAGAAGAGATATTAGGACTCAGTTTGACTGAAATGATTATTTATCGTACCTCCTGGAGTCTGAAAAGGCAAGGCTGTAGGATAGGTTGCGTTTTTATTAATCAGAAACAAACGTTAAAAACCTCCACCTGGAGCCCCGCTGGGGTTACTGCCGGTCCCAAGCTCGGATAAGGGGGCAGGGTTGGGCATGGGGTTAGCAACCCCGTCCTGTAGAAAACTAACTTGCTAAAAAATCGCTGACCAGGAAAAATTATTAAGACCATTTATACTGGACCCTGGGAGTCAGGTCTTCATTTAAAAGAGTTATGACGCCCCATTGTGAAAGCCGAGTTCCTTCGGAAGTCACGAGGTTAATGCCCCTTCTGACAACCAGAGTAACCATTAATTTGGGCACATCGAATGTTCGTACAACAAAAGAGGCTAGGAGAGCCGTTAA